CTTCTGCTCATCTTAAGGTTGGGGCTAGTGTGGTTGCCGGTTTAGTTGCCTTCCAATCTCAATCTGTAGAAGTGCAATGGGGGATAGATCTGGTGGTACACAGAATGGGTGGCCAGCGTGGGACATTGATGCTATTGTTCTAGAGTTGTTCAAATCACAACGGGCAGTCTTGTTGAAAGACAAGTGAGCCATTTGTCTGAAGATGTAGCATACCACATGGTTGTTAGTCCTGATTTTGTGAATTTGGAACCCGGGTATTTAACTTGAGATGGGTATTTTTGTGCTGGGTAAAGAACTGGGTGTCTTCAGAGGAAGTGGCAAAATCAGCATGGTACAGGGGATGAAAAGACGGGCTATTAACCAAATAAACACCGGAACGATCAGCAGATGGACTCTGGGGTGGATATTGGAGCGGGGAATGGGGAGTGGGGAGCGGAGCACTTATGGCACTGCCAGGAGTGCTATGATGTTGTTCCCAGTATCAAGAAATCAAGAATATTTGTGCTAAAATGAATTCTTAATTGGAATTAACTTCATGCTTTCTTTTTTTATTTTTTGTTTCCTCTGGGAAAACAAGAATGGATTCCCGAAGGAAAATTGGTACGCGAATACAATATTTGATCTCTATGCACAATTTCTATTTTTTCCACGAGTATATAGATCTATATATATAAACGTACATTTAATTTGTATACATATAAACGAAAAAGTTGTTACGCTACTTTCTAGCAGAGATGTAATTATTCTATTATTGTTATTATTATCATTAATAGTAGTTGTATTATGTGATTATTATCTTCAACATTGTCATCAACATGGTAATTATCACTATCAATATTATTATCATTTTCCCTTTAGAACCAGCTGCTCAGTGAAAGATGATCACCAATCATGAATCTGCGTTCCCGGGCGCACTTTTCACATACGATATAAAATACACGTCTTCACATTCACAATAACACGCACGTCTTCGGGGAAGTACTATGAGCTGGGTAAGAATGACAAGATGCACATTCCAATCAGCACATTCTAGACGGAATCCTTTTCTTTCTGATGCTCCAAACAAAAGGCACACACACTCACAAAAAACACTACATAATAAAGGAGTTGAAACACCAACTACATTTACTATAATGGTCAACACCTCGCGGAATCTTGACTTGAAGTATGAGAAATATTAAAACACCTTTACCAATTCGTAAAAAAACAACAACCGTATACTGAGATCAAGTACAAGTCGGAGTCGCTGTTGGAATCCAATACCACCTCAAGTGTTTCATAGCTCTAAGTGAAGGGGCGAGCCAGGGGTTCGACTTTAAGGGTAAGCTACATTAATTTCTTTTTTTTCCCTCTGACCTCAAAACAGGTCACGGCTCGGTGCGCAGGGGAAAAATCCGCCGCATCCGCCTGAGTGGTTATGGAAATGGCGGGAGGTTTAGCGCTTGGTCTACGAGTTGTTATTTGTAAGTCGGTCTGTTGACAAAGAAAAAAAGGAAGCGCGATCGAGTGGAGGG